ACCGTTAGTGTTATCTCCTGCTGTCAGTTTAGTATTAACTGAACCTCTCCAGTTCAGTTTTACCATTAGCTAAGGTAAAAGACTTAAAAAAAAAAAAGCCAAGGAAACCTTAGATTGACTAGGTGGTCAGCTAATAGGAGAGGATCCCCCTCCAAGAGGGAGGCGTGTTCATGGAGAGCTTATATTATCCTGAAACAGGAAGTAGCGTCAGACAATTTTTGAGCAGAACCACTATTCAGGTGAAGTACGGCTCCATTGTCTCCTGAAATGCATTTCAATACTTTGTTTTGTAATACTTTAACTGTGGTGTGTATTAAAACTATCTTAAACTAAGGTGAAGTCTCCTGGTGTACCTACCGATCCAAAACAACCCGGACAAAGGTATTTGTACCTTTGCAACACTACACCTTACCCACTGTGAGTTTACCATTAGCTGAACCTCACATGCTGTCAGTTTTACCTTTAGCTAAACCTCCTTGCTGTCAACAATTTTCAGTCAGGTCATCTGGACAGTTTCTATTTTTTTGTTGTTGTGCTGAAACGTTTCATCACCTTCCATCCAGAAGGCTTCATCAGTCAAGGAAACACAAAACTGATTCTTCCCCCAACAGCTTACTCCAAAGTGGAACAAACCAGTTATGTTGGTGCTAAGATGGTCTCTTTGGCACGCCCCCTCCTCCGGTGCCGGCCCTCTTCCTTGTCGACAGTCATGTCAAACTGGTTCAAAACCATGAGCATGGACTTTGTTGGCTCCTTGCTGTCAGTTTACCAATAGCTGAACCTCCCCTGCTGTTAGTGTTACTAATAGCTTGAGCTCCCCCCACTGTCAGCCATGTTGTTTGCTGAACCATCACTAGCTGTTATCTCACAGCTACAACAAAGTTAGGGGCGGCTGTGGCTGAGTGGTTAGAGCAGTTGATCTCCAATGGGAGAGTTGGGGATTCGATTCAACCAGCAGTCACATGCTGAAGTGTCCCCTGGGCAAGACACTGAACCCCTCATTGCTTCTGATGTCCCATCATGAATGTGATCTAAAGCACTGATTAGTCTTTGTATAGATCTAGTAGAGCGCTGTATGAATGGATAAATGAGGGTACACATTGGAGTGTAAAGTGCTTTGAGTATCTTGATAAGATAGAAAGGTGTATATAAGTACAATCCATTCCATTAGTTAGATTTTATTGTTAGATGAAACTCCCATCCTGACTTACTGTTTAAAGACGGTGATATAATTTGCAAATTAAATCTCCAGTCTGCATGGAGTAAATGGAGAATGTTAACCTTTATAACTGTCCATTTAAATTATAGTTTAGCTAACTACCATTAAAGTTAGCATAAGGAGCTGTTTTCTCCTAAAGGTTTCAAAGTTGTTCTTACCTCCACGATGCTCCTCAGGTCTCTGACATAGGTTTGCTCTGTCTCCACGATCTCCAGTACCACCCTCTGCAAACGGGAAAGCTGCCTGGGCGTGGCTCCCACAGCTGCTGACACCTGATTGGCTATGTGTCCATTAGGGGTGTGGCTTATACTTGTCAACTTTGTAACTCCTCCCCCTCCATGCATGTTGACAATGGGAGTGAGGTCCAGGCTGATGTCGGAGCTGTTCCTCTTTGGCGTAGAGGCCGTTGAGGATGAGGAGGAGGCGTTGTAGGCTGACACGGCACCGTACGGGAGTGATGAAGAGGATGAGGAGGAGGAGTGGGAGGCGTCCTGCAGAGAGACGGAGGAGGTGGAGGACGACAGAGAGAAGGAGGTGGGACGCTCGCCCTCCGAGCAGACAGTGTTGACCGAAGTGCAGGACGATGAAGAAGCTGCTCGCTCACCAGATGACATCATCCTACCCACAATCCCAGTCAGGGACAAGGTCGAGGAGGGATGCTTGGCGGCTGCAAGAAAACAAATGACAATGTTTGTCTGTTAGCAAAATTATCTTACTGGATGGATACTAATGAAACTCTGAGAACGTAATCATTGGGAGCCAATCCAATTCAAGATGGCCACTGCTGCTAAGTGACCTTAGCAAACCAAAAATAGTTCTAACTCAGTGTTACAGATAATGAGGTAAAGTTTGGTGTGGTAGTAGCTGAGAGTCATCCCCAAAACGGACACTGAAACTTTAATATTGAAGGTGGTGAGCAACATGAAATCCAGAGGGGTTAAACTGAGCAAATGGCTGCAAGTTTAGAAAAATGCTAAAAATCAGAAATTTGATGAGGCTGTTTTTTTCTGTTTTAAAGGATAAAAGAAACCAGAATCAGCTCAAGTCTAAAAACATGGAATGTTGTTTGATTTAATAAACTGTTGCATTTGTAGGTGTCCCTCAAACATTTAAAGAAGACACGTTTTTATTTCTAACCTGAAAAAAAACAACCAAACCTAATGAAACCTTTGGTAAACATATGAAGGCTGTGAATTTAAAATATTTATTTTAGAAAAAGAATCAGATACAGAAAAAGAAAACGATGCGTCACCAACAGAAACACAGGTAGAGACCCCAACAGAGACACCAACAGAGTTACCAGGAGAGGATCCATTAGAGTCGCCGGCAGAGATTACAATATAGTCACTGGCAGGGACACCAACAGACACCAGCAGACTCCAATATAGTCACTGGCAGGGACACCAACAGACACCAGCAGACTCCAAAAGAGTCATTGGTAGGGACACTAAGACAACAGCAGGAACAGAGTCACTGGCAGAGACTCCAAAAAAGTTATCAGCTGAGACTCCAATAAAGTCACCAACTGAGATCCAGCAGACTCAACTGCAGAGGCTCCAACAAAGTCATCGGCAGGGACAGCAACAGACATACCAGCAGAGAGTCAAATAGAGTCATTGGCAGAGACTCCAAAAGAGTCATTGGCAGAGAGTCCAACAGAGTCATTGGCAGAGAGTCAAATAGAGTCATTGGCAGAGAGTCCAACAGAGTCATTGGCAGAAACTCCAAAAGAGTCATTGGCAGAGAGTCCAACGGAGTCATTGGCAGAAACTCCAAAAGAGTCATTGGCAGAGACTCCAACAGAGTCATCGGCAGAAACTCCAACAGTCATTGGCAGAGACTCCAATAGAGTCATCGGCAGAGAAATGAGTCATTGGAAGAGACTTCAGCAGAGACACCAAGACTCACCGGCAAAGACTCCAACAGCCTCACCGACAGACTCCAACAGATTCAACGGCAGAGACTCCAACAGAGACACTGGCAGGGACAGCGACAGACACACAAGCAAAGACTCCAACAGAGTCATTGGCAGAAACTCCAATAAAATCATTGTCAGAGAACTGAGTCATCGGCAGAGACTCCAACAGAGTCATCGGCAGAGACTCCAACAGATTCACCGGCAGAGACTCCAACAAAGTCATCGGCAGAGACTCCAACAGAGTCATCGGCAGAGACTCCAACAGATTCACCGGCAGAGACTCCAACAGACTCACCAGCAGAGACTCCAACAAAGTTATCGGCAGAGACTCCAACAGACTCACCGGCAGAGACTCCAACAAAGTTATCGGCAGAGACTCCAACAGACTCACCAGCAGAGACTCCAAAAGACTCACCGGCAGAGACTCCAAAAGACTCACCGGCAGAGACTCCAACAAAGTCATCGGCAGAGACTCCAACAGAGACTCCAACAGACTCACCGGCAGAGACTCCAACAAAGTCATCGGCAGAGACTCCAACAGACTCACCAGCAGAGACTCCAACAAAGTCATCGGCAGAGACTCCAACAGACTCACCGGCATAGACTCCACAAAGAGTCACCCGTGAACAGCAGATGGTTCTGATAGGACCACGGGTTCTGTTTGATGGTTCTACAGGGTTTTCTAGAGGACAAGTTAAATAGTGCCGTCATTTCCCAATTGAGACGCAGATTTTTTTTCTCTACAAACTGAGGAAAGAGCAAAACATTAAAACTTGTGTCAGAAACTGAATATTATTTGTTGGATATTAATAAAGGCACTTTAGTGTTTTTTACATCTTTAATTCCTGCTTTACTCTGATTTGTTTAGGCTGTAACCAGATTAAACTCAAAAAGTTTGAAGCTAAAGATGAAGCTCAGAAAGAAAGAATGTGAAAGTAACACATTACATCAATTCAAACCGTCTCACCACCAACAATCAGCATGTTCGTGTGGTGAAACCTTCTCAGTGACAGGCAGGAAGTCTAAAACTGTGAAGCCTGTCTCCGACGAGTGAAGTGAGTCAGAGCGTCAACCTGAGCTCCTGACTGGAGTGGTCCTCTGAGTGTGACTCCTACAGAAAAACAAGAAAACGGCTGTAGGTCCAGGTCTGATCAGACGACGACAAAGACCCTCATGACAAACTGAAACTGTAGATTTAAAGGAACAGACCTTTTCCTTCATCTGCTCTGGATCTGCTGCCAAACCAGCATTACCTCATCTGCTGCGAGTTACAAACAGCCCTGACACACTGCGAGAAGACCACCTCTCATCATCATCATCATCATCGTCAGGAAGACACAAAGCTTCCAAAACTCCCACAGGAACCAGGAAACTCAAACGCATCGCTGAGTTTCCACCGAAGCGAACAAATTCCAAGCTTTCTCTTGTTTTTATGTAACTTTTGACTTTTGTTTTTAAACATCTGCAAAATAAAACTAAAAATCAGTAATAAGATTATCTACATGTTTATTCAATAAAGTTTAATAGCTTCCTCCACAGATATTATCCGGTGGTTTAAGCTGCAGGGTTTACAATTATTTAGAGATTGCATATTTTTAATTGTTTTGAAAGTTTAGATTTTATTAATCAAACTATAGTTGAATCCCTTTGATGGCATTTGATCAGTTTAGGATTTCAGACTTCTTCAGGTTGGTCTTTCCAGAAAAACAGTTTTATCCAAATGCAGCTGGATAAAAACGCTGAAGTCTCTTTTCATGGATTTTTACCCTCTAGTTGAGAGGGAAACGTGCACAAGGCGTCCACAGAGCACTCCGTGCACATCCATGGCGTCCCGGGGCTTTGCAAGAAATGTATAAAACCTTTTGTTCTAAATGGAAACTTGCTGCTTTTGCTTTGATTGGTTATTGATTTTAACTGAAATGTTCACAATTCTTTGTTTTTCTGGTCTACTAGCAATATTTTCTAATTTTTATCAAACAAACCATCAATAATTAAAGGATGCATGCTGTTTATTTGTCGTATGCAGGTTAACACAAGGTCAACAATGAAATTGAAATGTTCAGGATGAGAACTGATTCGATTAGCTAAAAATAAAAATAAAAAACTAAAGCAGGGTGTAAAATAAAGTGCCAAAAGGTGAAAAGCAAATATAATATTTACACGGTCCAAAAGAAGTATAGTAAACAACAACATGGTAGAATATAATGGTGCTATTAGGATGAATTATATAAATAAGTATTTCACAGGTAGTAATATAAGCTTAAATGCACGATACAGTATATGTATATTGCACATAATTAAATTATACAGTACAAACAGTATATACTTATATATATATATATACATATAAGTAGGAATCAGATTTATTTAAATTAACAGTTTAAAATGCATTCTGATCCATTTGCAGCAAAAAAGGTTTTCTGCAAACAATTGAACCATTAATAACAACAAACTGTATTTATATTTTAGTGCTGCTGCCATAACAGCTAGCTGATTATGTAATTACCGTACTTGCCACCGTACACATTGTGCTGTCGTATAAATAGCATCAGTCCAAATATGTCTAACAAAGTGGAAAACAAACAACAAATAAGTCGCTTCACCGTATAAGTTGCATCTTTTATGAGTCACCGCTGACCACCCAGAAACATGGGCTGGTGTTGTGCCAAAAATCAATTGGCTGCCAAATGGCAGTCGCGGGAGCGTGCACGGGAGGACTTTAACAATAATTTAACCAGATTAACACTTTAAAACAATTATTTGTTTGCTCAAAATTATAGCAAAGGTGTGTCTCAGTTGAACTTAATAAATGCACTTTAAAGGTCAAGTCAGCTGCATTTCGCCTGGGCAATGCGGCGAAAGGTGATGAAGGTGACTTTGTATGGCAAGCCAAGTGTGTCATTAATAGACACTTTTACCTATTAATGAGAAACTTGACTTGCCATATTGCTCGAGGGCCCTCTAGTGGCTGAAAATGGTAGTGTTCAATATTTTCCATGTCGAAAAGAATGAAATTGTCAGATCTCAGCCAAAAATTGGTTATAAACATGGAAAAAATTAATATTAGTCACTTTGGTGTATAAGTTGCAGGACATGCTAATATATACAAAAAGGTGCAACTTATATGGCAAAAAATATGGTACTTGTGTCTTTATTTGTTTGTTGGTAAAATACCTATCCGTATAAACCTGATTGAACATTTTTATTCATTTAGTGCGTCAGTTGGTCCGTCTGGATATTTTGAACAGTGCGGCAGCAGTAGCGCACATTTACCCGGCCTCTCATGCGAGTTTCATAAAACATCAATTAAAAATATGAGCAAATACATATAAAAATGCAACAGTCTGTTAGCAAAATATTTCATGAACCACTGAACAAGTTTTGAAGAACTTCTCAGGATGTGCCACAGCTTATCGACAGCAGCCAACACAAACATGGCTCCAGATCAGTCAGTTGTACAGACACTGGGCTACAGCTTGGAGTGGTAGTAGCTGAGAGTCATCCCAACACACTCTGAAAGCTGACAGACCTTACAAGATGCTATTTTCAAGGCTCGACCAAACGGCTACACCACCATCTTCCCTCTCATCAGAGGAGCTCGGTCTAAAACTCTGATTTGACAGTAATTACAGACACTTTGAATGTTTGAAAAACAGAAAAAAACCTCAGCGTTTGATACGTTTTAATGACTGACTGAGA